CGGAACAGTGGTGCAGAGCAGAGACCCAATGTGTACTGAAAACACTATAAAAGTATCTTGTGATATCTCAATGATATATCGCTGCTTAAAACTGAATACATTTTACAGGTAACATTTAGGCTGTAGACAACATCGGGACTAAGAGGAGACAAAGCCTCCACCATAAAAGTTACACAGTGCACCTTGAACATTTAGAGCAGGGCGGTGCCAAAAATTGAAATACTGAAAAATCACAATCTCAACTTTAACACGTGCATTTAATTTGAGAAACACCAGTGATGAGGCTGAAGAAGAGCACTTGTTGTTTCTTTCCCTCCAAGTATAAATCTCTTTAACGACAGCTACGATAAACAAACTAAGAAGAATTGAGTCAGGAACAGACGGCAGGTGTTTTTTACCTCTCTTCATTCGTCGTTCACAATGTTTGACTCTGATTCTCAATTTAATTTAGTGCGCAATTATATGTCAAGTTTTATCCAAAATTGATGATGAATTTTTATGAAGGATCCTTTCCCCAGATTTCCCCAACAATGCACAAATCCCTGCAAATCACCACTGAATAAATGTGTAATGCAGCGTAAACATTACAAGCCCCATAACACATAATGTAAAGGTTTAAAATGCCTCTATATTGCTTTTAGACGATTTAATAATAAAGACATGGCAAGGCAAGTTTGTTGTATAGCACAATTCATACACAAGGCAACTCAAAGTGCTGAACAAAACAAGATGGAACCCTCAGTTGTCTGCAGAGAAGAAGCTTGTCTCACATTTTCAGGAAGACCGTTCTACATTTTAGCGGCATGAATCTGAAATGCAGCCTCCCCATGTTTAGTTCTTTCTACTGAGTGTTAAATGTCTTGTTAAACATAAAAAGACAGAAAACTATTAACAGGCCACAAGGTTGATAAAATAGCTTAGTTGTGTTAAAAAAAAAGACTGGCGCTCATCTGCTGACAGACCATGGATTCCAGTTCAGTTGCAAACGTGAACTGTATCCATTTCCTCTCCAAAGCCACCTTGAGCTTCACTACTATCCATCCCCTGTATTGACAGCAACAATAAACAAACCAGGTGCCTTCTAATCATTGCAGCAACCGTCCGTAAGAAGAGGCCGCAGCATGGTTCCCACTCCATATTTTCCTGTCTCGATGCACTTACAAAGCCGGCTCTCAGTTTCTCGCCTGTCCCATCCTCCTACACACACAAGCAAACACACACACAGACACACAAAGCAGGGAGCCCTATAATCTGTGGCCCATTGTCCAGAGTCATCACAGGGGACTGGGCTAAGTGAACGAGGAAAGATTTTGAAGTCGGGGCGAAATGACTGGCACTATTGAGCGTATAATGCTGGGAACATGACAACTGTAGGCTGACTTAACCGTGGCCGATGTTTCATTCCTCTCTCCACTCTCTGCGGAAAAATATTTAATCTACGGCGTTCCTTTTCTGTGTCCATTTGTTTGTCAGACTTCTCGCAGCGAGCCTTGTCCAAAGAATTGAACAAGACAGCTGTCACACCCGCCTGCGGTGAGTGAACACGGCAGGTGAAGTTTTTGTTGAGTTTTTCCCCATTGCTCCGAGGTTCAAAAACAGAAACCCGGTATCTTGATGTACGATTTTGTGTCTTATCTGTGCCAAGGCAGCTCTGCCGCCTTGCACCAGTCTGGGCAGCGTTGGGGAGAGCCATTACCTGCGAGTGGTTTTACAAGAGGATGTCGGACCCTCGCTGTGCTCCCACTGGCCTTTATAGACTCGAACAGTGCACTTTCATTTGCCGTGTTTTGGGGGAAAAGACACATTTTCTTCCATTGTTGTTCACGGATGTTCGTCCTCTTGCAAAAATAATCCCCTCCAAAAAAATCAGCAGACAGGTTGATACACTGTGTGAAATGATCAAGGATGTGAAACGCTCTCGTCTCCGGACGGTTGGGAGAAAAACTGCTTGGAATTCTTACGGTGACACTTTCCACAATTTGACCTATATATTTGCACAGTGTTGAGAGCATAGGGCTTCAGCCATCAATAATTTTTGTATTTGATATGTTTTTTTTTTGCATTTTCAAAACAACCAAAACAGTACATAACGAAAATGATGTGGCTGTGAAATGATTAAGCATTTGGCTTTTATTTCTCACAAAAGGTACTCTTTCCAACTCCAACTATTTACGCCAAAACTACTAAATGTTGTTGCAATTTATCAAATTAGTGTTAATAAAAGCCAGTGCAAACAGGACCACTACACCATTGTTTCAGATTTTTGCGGTAATTCATCTGAAACGACTACTTGTACATAGTTTTTTGGCTACTAATTAATATTTAAAATACCTAATTAATTATCTGCAATTATAAGTCTATATACAAACACCAAAACATATGACATGGCTGTAATCACATAAAAATGACATACTATTTTCTATTAAAAATATCTTCAGCTAAAAACATCTCTTGGATTTCATATTTAGTACTAATCCACAAAACACAAAATACTGGAGTTAATCGACTTTACTACATGTTTGTACAGGACAGAGCTGTAGAAGATCCCAATTGTGGAACCATTCTAGTAAGTAAGTAATCTTTATTTATATAGCACGTTTTACAGACCAAGGTCACCCAAAGCGCTTTATAATTACAAATCTGGCTTGACTCTGCAGACTGCCTCATTAAACACGTGGTTTCAGATTCCTCTACCTGAAGTGCCTTTTTAAGTCAACCTTAGATTTATGACCTTTGCCATTCAGTTCTTTCTATACTGGATTGGATTACCAGCAGTTTTATATACTCTGATGAACACATTTTGAAACAGTCCTGACAACCAATACTCTAAATTCTAGCTCAGCCGAATTGAGCCAATGCTTCCCTGTTTACCAGTGTGGCCCTGCATTGATTGGACTTGCACCAGTGGCGTACAGAGGAAACCCAAGTTGTGTACAACAAGACAAAAGAGAGAGCGGCAGGCAGAAATCCATCAAAATAAACAGTGCTGTGCCGCCTTCTTTTCACTGACAAACAACAGCTGCACAGAATGGCAAATAAATATTATCTCTACCAGAGAAAAACAATCAGACAGCGCTAGGTACTCCAGAGACAGAATTCAGACTGCCTTCTTGAATGCAGAATTAAAACTGTCGAAAAACAAAAATCAGCCGCTAGACAGTTGTGGACGGTGAATATGAGTAAACACTTTTCATGTTTATGACACTATTACTTTTGCGGTAGCTTTTCTCCCAGACTGAACTTGGAATGAGATACACAGAAGTGAGAGTGTGGGCTAAATCTTTCTAACATGACCACGACTTGGAGTTACGTCCAAATTTTGAGGCTAAATACATGGCTCTTGGTTGGGAGATTATGGCCAAGCAGTGCGTCTCTCCTCTATCCCTCAACAGCCCGTGCTCTAAAGTCCTGCTTTCCAACAAAAACACTTGCAAAATCGTTCCTAGCAGACATCCAAACCCGGCTCTCTGTGTCCAGCAATCCTGTCAGCCAGAGAGCCCCCTTTTTTCTGCGAGCACACACAAGCACGCACACTATCAGGACAAAACTGCTTAGAGGGAACGGGGGCTGGTAGCTCAAGTTCTCTCCCCCCCCCCCATTGAAATGCAGACACTTTGATATGGAAATTGGCAGTTACAAAAAGCCGCCAGAATTCACACTAGCATGCATTGAAACCATTTGCGCAATGTGAGATGAGATGGCACTTCCTCCCAGGACAACGCACACCGACAAATGGACTTGCTGTGGACATGGGGGGGGGGGCATGGGTGTCCAAGCAAATGTGTGGAGAGTAGAGGGGGGGGCAGCTAACAGTTGTTCCATTTTCTCTTTTTGAATGATAACAAAGCCATCCAGGAATGCATTTTTGTTGAATACATTTGCGGGTAATAAATTCGACCCAGTAATAGCAGTTGGACAGGATTATTACCTTATTGGCTTAGGGCAGTTTGACCTTTTCGTGCATAGATTTGCTAGATTTTACCATTATCTGAACAAAAGCAGTTTGTTTTTTTGTCTTTTCGGTTTTGGTTGAATTACTAGGCTAGACTGAGTAACTTATTTGCCACGGTTGAGGTTGAAAAATGAAAAAAAAACTTGGATCTTGCCTGGCAGGACTGCTAAAGCTTGCCCATAATGTATTCTTTTGAAGATTCGAAAACTAAAAAAACTCAAGCATATACGTTCCCGGCGTGAAATCTGTTATATAAGTAGAGCTAGTTCCTAAGTTGTGTCTTATATAAGGCTGCAGCACTCCATGCATTTGGCAGAGGAAGTGTATGGATCAGTAAAGGTGCCGTTCACTCTCTGCGTCACCCATGGGTGCTGCTTGGTCTGAGCACCCATGGATGCTCAGACCAACAACACACACGCCATAGGTGTGTGTTGTATGGAATGGGAGGCGCTATGTTGACTGTCCCATCTTCACACATGACTGAGTCTGGTCCCTGAATTATACATGTCCCAGTGAAATGATCTTATTTTATTGCTGCAAAATGGAGACGGCACAGACTGGAAACCGCTTTGATATTGTCCTGAAGGCGGATTTTCAACATCACTCACACACACAAGCGCGCACAGCACACAATATTGCCTTCTGAGAGTAGGTCACATCAATTCTATATTTATTTCTATTCCAACATTCCTTAAAATGGAAATAAATTGCTGCTTTTCATGCTCTTAATATGGCTCTACAACAATTCATACGAAGCACACGTAAGATATTTGGACTCGACTCTAATAGGTGTTCCGACCAGTCATACAACTTAGATTATTTGCAAGTGTGACGCTCCAGAGCCCAGGGAAGCAGGAGGGACTCATGAGCGGTGTATTGATCTCAACACAACAGTTGAAAACTGCCCTAGCAGCCCGTGGGCCTGCCTTCTGACATTTGCCTTATTCTATCCTGGGAGTGTAAATAAATTCTATTGATTCAAGAAAGCCATAATCAGCCAGTGTCTCTGTGGGGAAGCAACGTGCACACATGAAAAGGGAACACTTACAGTGGTTTAAAGCCGCTCTTCTAAAATACGGATCCACGCGTGAAGTGTGGGACTGAGCTGGACGCCAAACACTGAGACTGAGACCCCCTCCTGGTCCAGCAGCGGCCCCCACAAACAGGCAGCGGTGGCGGGTCGCACAAAGACACGGAGGCTGCTGTGCACGGTCCTCTCTCCTCCTACAGCGCACACAGGGCTCTTGTCGCGGCTTGCGGTCCTTCTCCAAAGCGGGGACACATCCAGCGCTGGACAGGTAGCTCCATGACTGAAGAGCGTCAATGGAAAAGTCTCCTCATCGTTACTCCTCGCAGTAGTGGCTCCGAGCGCATGGAAAGAAGCAGTTGGAGGAGAAGAGATGCGCCCCTCTCCTGTCGCCAAAACCAAACTCCAAACAATCAAGTGAGCAGTTTAGTCCACGGGGATCGGAGCATGCGTCCAGGCTGCAGCGGGGGGTTGTTCCGGGAGTTTTGGCGTGGCTTTTCTAGGGGGGGTAGCAGTCTGTCCGGTCACTACTCAGCGTCTGCTACACGCGGCGCACACAGCGGTCAGAGCGGATAGAGCGGAGGCACCAGTCCCGACTCCCGAAGCCTGGAGCCCGCAGCCCGCTCTGCTGCAGCTGCCTGTGGGGAGGAGCCAGAGCCAAGGCGGAGATGCGCGCGCAGCCAAAGCCCAGTCGGACGCTAATTACCTCAAGTGTTCCGAAGCCTTTGACGGCTTTGAAAAGGAGTGTTAAAGATGTGATGCTAAAGAGAGAATGTTTTCAGACGCATTCAGGAATGTTTGAGATTTTCTCCTGCGTTCAAGGTTCCATGGCTCCGACGGTCCCCCTTTTTCACTCCCACTTGTTTGGCTTGTTTAGTTATTCTGCGATGCATGGTTGATTCAGTGGCGGAGCCAGACTTTTAAACAGAGGGTGGCCAGGGGGTGGCAAGGGTTTTTTTTAAGGGGTCCACGTTTATACTATTCCGAAATTTTGTTTCACACAAAAACGGGCTAAACGATACATTTTAATCTTAATCTTAATCTTGTCATTATTTTTAATATAAAGTGAACTGAGAGCACACTTGGAAACTACAAAGGAAAAAGTCTATTTAAACAGTAGTCTGAACAAAAAAGTGCAAAATAACATCATTCAAACATTGCATTACATTTCTCTTTTAACAAATTTAGCAAATTCCTGTGGTTCTGGTGTAAAGCAGCAAAGATGTTGACAAACTCATCCATATTCAGCCCTGAGCCCTCCTTTACCCTACACTGAGGATACCAAGACGACTCAATCATCTGCCATGGAAGTTCTGAGATGGTTTTTAATAAGTTTTAGGGCAGAGAAACTTATTTCACAAGACGCAGTACTGACAGCCATTAAAAAGATCTTTGCAAGCCTCAAAAGCTCATGAAACACTTTCCAAACGTTCCAAAAGGACAAGGAAGTCCAATAGGGACTCTCTAATGCATTTTTTCCTCCCAAGTAGCCGCCTAGTTTGACGTACCTCATGCTTAAGGTCCTCTATATCTGACTGAAAGGTTCTGCCAAATGAAAACAGGGGCTCTTCTTTCAAAAATATTTTGGGGTCAAGCGACTGCACATCATCCATAAACTTAGCTATTTTTTTTTCTTTTTTTGTGTGTGAAAAAACGCCTTCTGCCAATAAACAATCCTGCACCTGTCTGCGACACCCTCTCATTCTCTGAAACTCAATTATATAAGCTATATTTTAATACAACACAACAAATTCCTCATCATCTCAAAACATACTGCCTCCGAGTCTGACCTTCAGGTTTCATAATCCTGATCTACAGGCCTTTTCCTAACAAAAAAAGGCCTGTAGGCAATGTTTCCTCCTTTTCTTTTCATGTTTACACTAAAGGGAAGAGGGCGATGATACGATGGGCAATTAATAATGGAAAATACACACGCATGCACACCCGCACGCACACACGTACACAGGCACGCAGACCCACACTGGCACACACAGGCACGCACACACACGCACACAGGCACGCACACACAGGCACACACAGGCACGCACACACGTACACAGGCACGCAGACCCACACTGGCACACACTGGCACGCACACACACGCAGACACACTGGCACGCTGACACAGCACACAGGCGCGCATACAGGCACGCACACAGGCACGCACACATACACACACTAAAAGTTCTACAAACTGAACAAGTAATGCGCTGCAGTACGTGTGTCTATACTTTGTGTCAAATGTAAACGGTTGGCTCTGCATCGCTAACTTACCTCTTTGTTTTCATCACGACTTGGGCAAACCTGAGTCCAACAACCCAAAGCATTAGCATACAGCTTTTGGCGGAAAAAGTGCGGAAGATTCTCAAGATTAACATTATTACATTGCCGTCTTCCGAGGGGGGCACTGGGGGTGGCAAGGATATTTTTAGAGGTGGCAGTGGCCACCCTGGCTACCCCTCTGGCTCCGCCACTGGGTTGATTCTGGAACAAAAGACAAAAACACTTTAAGATGAAGAGATCCTTTATTTGTCCCACAGTGGGGAAATTTCAGTGTTGCATCGCAAGTTATAGAACAGTAGGAAAGAGGAGCACGCAGCACACTTTACCTAATTAAAATAAAACAAAATCTCTAACTCTAGCTTCAATAATAATTATAAAAACTCTATCTTGAAAATAATAATAAATGTAAAAATGTAACACCAAATTTCAACACCAAACAAGTGGTGATGATATCGATACAGTGACGGAGAAAGTGACACTATATATGGCCGTTTATGAAGTCAACATTTCACATGAAGTTTCACAGACATGATTTAAAAAGAGAAATGCATTATAAAGTAAGTATGTAATCTCATATAGCGCCAGAGTCACTATGCACTTGGGCATTTGTCCTCTCACTCCATGCCAGATCTATTGTACATGTTTTTTAGTTTAAGCACCTGGAGGAAACCTGTACATGCAAACTCCCCATAGAAAGGTCCTCGAGGTGGAATCAAATCCAGGACCTGGGTTTGATTCTGTGACGCACAAGCACTAACCACCATGCCACCAATGCATCTCTTGATATTTCCCTAACTTTGAAACTACAAAAAAGGCTAGAACTACAACAAATGTAAGTTCCCCTCTCTCCAAACTGGTTTTATAGTTTTCATTGTTGGCCTCTTTAAAGTATAACGTTGAAAAAGAGTACCCACCCTAACTCAGCCAATCCAATCTCAGTATGTAAAAGTAACATATGTTCTCTATAGATTCTAGATATATTTTTTCACAAACAAAAACGTTAGATACTCCAGACATAAATATATAAGTACCCCACATACAGTCTAGTTTAAACAGGAATGAAACACATGACATGAATACCAAAGTTACGTGTGTGCAGATTTGGAACTGAATGTAATTAAGACGAATGTGAGTAAAAGGCAGATGTATTCTTCCAGCGGTGACCCTCAAACAACCCCAAACTCTGACAGCCTTTCAGAGCTCCAACTTTCCCTGGCTCCCTCTGCCTACACACAAGTCTGTAGCGACTTTTCTCCTCCTAACTGAAATGTCTTATAAAATACATCAGCCTTGAGACTCCAAGGCGCTTACTGCCCCACCACTCGTCACGACTTATGTGTCATGTGTCAGTTTAGCACAACCTTCTCAGATACACTGCCGAATTTGCAATGCATTCTTGCCTTTTCTACAGCAATACAAAATACTAACTTCATTCATACAAGGAGGGCATACCCTGTTTCAACAACTTGACAACTTTGACTAAAGAACCGCTCTCTCCACTTTATGAACAAAACTCTCTGGTCTTTATTGATGAGCACGTATCACCAGATTGATTGACAATCAGGAGGACCAATAGTCTTGATGATCCACCCAGAAGTAGGAAACCCCTCCATATACCTTCAAATACATCAACTTATGAAATTCCGAATTATTTAATTAAATATGAAAGTAGAACCAGTGGCCAGGTTTGCAAAAGTTTGAAAAGAATATTACTTGAGTTTAGTGCTTGTATACCAACACAGTTTCTATTTATCCTAGAACCAAGTGCAATAATCCAGAGTTTTATTTTATTAACTTATTTATTTTATTTATTTATTAATTTGATTTGGACACAACAGTGACATTGGACAGACCAGATGCACTGCCTTTAGTGTTATAGCGAGACCAATGCTAATTTTCAACACTTTTCCATAGAAGGCTTTTAGAACACAAATGCACACATTTAACATTAACAAATATAAAAGTATTTAAATATACAGTTCATTAATCATGTGAACAACGCTGCTCCGATTTCAGCCACAGTTGCAGACGTCTGACGAAGATGTTTTTATCTGTTTGTAGTTTTAGGCCAGTGGGAAGAGCGTTCCACAGTCTGGCTCCATTGAAGGAAAAGCTGGACTTTCCCAACAATGTTCTGAACTTAGGAACCAGACAGTCCCCACTGACCGAGGCTCTGGTGTTAGGCCTTCGAGAGCCTTGACCTCTGACAGCCAGACCAGAGAACACAGGTGGAACAATTGTATTATCTATTATCTTAAAAAAATAGACCCTGTTTGAGGTGTGCAACCTGAGTGCTCTTTTTTCCTCCTTCCTCCTAATTTGTGCAACAATGACATTGAAATTTCCCCACTGTGGGACGTATAAAGACTTATCTTAAAAAAAACAAATTCCTAAGATCTTATGATACTGTAGTGTACCCTCATAGCTAGTTCCAGAGTTCCAGTTGAAAGAAACGAATCAGGAAGTTTTATCAATAAGCACTTTTTAAATACATTAAAAGTTGCTCTCTTCTGACGGACAGCAAAGGCCAATCTATACATTTACATAAAGTGTACAACTGGGAGTTTTAGACTGCGGTGAAAATAGGATGATCAGTTCAAGTTACAATTTCATCACTTTAGGGTATAAAATAGGGTAAACTGGGCAACGATTAGTCAAAGAGAATTGGTAAACAAAATTGGAGCAAACAAATAGAGCACATGCAGACTAGAGGATGATATTGCTGCCATATTTTTTGTTTTGAGCATATGAAACACTTTTTCTTCTTGATGAAATAAAATTAAATAAGAACGAATATAGACTGGCAAATAATCTCACTCGGTCACAATGTATGTATTTAGAGTAGTTGGATTTTTTGCACAATAAAAAAACTGAAGTATTATTGATATCAAAGAGACAATGCCCAGTCCAGGGTTTGACATCAGATCGCAAACGTTTTTACTAAAGTCTTTTTTGTGAGCGTGTAAACATCAGGGCTTTCCCCATTACGTGTTGAAATGGCCCGTTGACCTGGGACAGCAGTGGGAAAGGTTGACAAGTTTTTAGACCTGTGTTGGCTTTTCAACACGTGAAGACAGGGACATATCAAAATGAAATGGTCAAAACAAATTTCCGACTGCACAATACCTCATCTAAAATCTATAGACTCATTGTGGTGCACCCAGGACCTTATGTGACTAAGAATGAAGAATAAAACATATAAGTCAAAGTGAAGTTATTGTGTTTTGGTCTAAATTTAACTTTCGGCCTTTCTTTAACACTGTCTAACAACTGTTTATTCAGTTGTGTTAAAAAATCCTACACAATCCAATGTGTAATGCAGAGAATTAGTTAATTAATAAAGTGTAAAGTCGAAACGGTCATGACATCGATCTTTTTTTCACTTGATACTTTGCTTTGTTTTTTAATATTGGTTGTCCTGTGTCCTTTCGAGTTTCTTTTCTTTGTTTCTGTGTTGATTTCCTACCTCGCCCTATGTATTTCACTTGTGTCTCTCGTTTGTGTAGTTATTCCCTGCGCCCCTCTCAACTTGTTGTCAGTCCGTTCTCTTTCCCTGCGTCTTGAACCTGTTATTATCCTGGATTTGGGTTTTTTAAGTAAATTACACTTCTATTTGCAGTCCCACATGTTGGTTCCTCCTTTTGTTTTTCACCTTGTGACAGAAACAACTTTACAGTGGTAAATGATAGAAGATTTTTTACACAGCCAAAGCAAAGTGTGTTTGGATAATATGTCCCCTTTAATATCTTCACATGCATACGAGCACTTCAAGAGATCCGTTGTCCCTGCTGCTGTCAGATTCGACAATATCTATTTATAATCAAAGAGAAAAAAATCTGTAAATAAATTTGTTGCTATTGAAATCATTGTGGCAGTAGCTTTTCCCACATAACAGTCCAGAAACAAATAGCTCACTTTAATCAGATAAAATAATATTAAATTCAAGTTGATGTTTCCGCGTAGAAAAGCAGATTAGAGGGAATACTGTCACATACACCCACAAACACACAACCTAATCCGTGCTATATTCAACCAAGATGCCGTGTTGAGCTGGTCTGAATATCTTTCTTCTTTTTGTCTTCTGCTGTGAATGCTGTTTGAACTCCCCACATGCAAATCATTTGTTTGTAGTGAATTAGAAACCCAATAGGCCTTAGCTATGAAAAGTATTTGGTTCTTGTAGGTTAGGTTAGCAATGTTTTTACCATGACATCACTAACCTATTATTGTCGGGTATAGAAGAACCAAATACTGAAGAAGACAAGAGAAACCTTCTTAAACTAAGCATTACTTAACCTAGATGATCACCTATCTGTTAGCCCTGTCTGTTTAACTTTAAAACATATATATTGAAACACGCAGCCCATTCTTTGTGGCTGAAATTGCAGCGACAGAAAATATGTATACGTGCATGTGTGTGTGTTGTCTGGTGCGCACAAAAGCGTATCTGAATGTACATACATACGTTACTATGGTTCCCAATAGGTTTACCACACAATCCTCCCCTAACAATAGCCACGAAGCCAGAGCCTGAACACGTGTATGTGTTGCGGCATTAGATCATATTAAAAGACTGCGTGGGTATAATTTTCTTGAACTATTTTCTCGCTAAACCCCATATGACTGCCCACTTGGTGAAATTTTTCTTTCATGTATTAACTGAATAATTTAGCCTCGGCTATAAAAGCGACTCTAGTTTGGCTTGTTTGTGCATTGTTTTCACACATCTTTCCACATTATTATATGTTTACAGCGCATGGGTATATCAAAAAGGGAAATGCCTTTTGCTCCACACCCACACACACACACACACACACACACACACAATGTTGCTCCGTATATTGAATCATTGATACAGGGGAAGGCACAATTGGCACATTCTTTTACAAATCCCATATGTTTGAATTGTCTCATCTGAACATGCAAGGGACTGGCAGTGCTTCATTTTGAGCAATAAAATGTCAGAAACATGAATGCAATAATATTGAAACGTTCCATATGGCCTTGATTATAATAGCACGTTATGGCTTTGTTTATTTCCTACTATGTTGATGGATGTGTGTTGCTTTGCCAGTGGAAGGGTGTAAAGCTTTAAGTATACAAACCAGGTTGATTAGTCATTCTGTTACCATGGCGTTTGTAGTTTGGCAGTCTGTACGACAGCTCCAGGCTCTTAGGAGAGTTCCCACCCCCTTTGCTTTCAGGTTTCCATGTCTTCTTTGTTTTTGTGCTGCCTGGGATCAAAAATAGTCTAATTGACAAGAATTGCTCGTTAAACAAACCAGAATGTAAGTCAACTTCAAATAGTTATGTTCGCTAAAGCTGGGTACAGACCACCGGAGTGTCATGAGTTTTTAGCGTGTGACACAGACCACATAAAAGTATGATCTGAAATGAGTCCCCTTGCTTTCACTTGCGATTTCTGTAAAGGATATGACTGCATCCAAATCCAACAAACACAACAACAACCTTTCATTTCCTTTATTCTCATTTGAAAAACATTTGGAATCATTATCGCAGTTAATTTCACCAAACCAGGACAAACTCATAAAAAGTAAATTTGGATCAGGAAGGAGATTCGCAGCAAGCCCAAAGAAACTAACCCAGGGACAAGACATAAGACAAAAACAGCAATGAACCGACACCAACAGAACCGGAGTACAGGGTCTAAGGGAGACACAGGTGCGGGGAAAACAATCAACAGGACAGACAGGTAGTAAAACTCAAACTCAACAAGAATTATTATTTCCCACATGTACGACTGGGTCCGACCTTAGCTGCGGTTACCTCGGCTGAATCCCACCCTTCAGCGAGTGAGGGTTAGCGGGTGTTGTCAGTAGGTTGTTGGTGAATTTTCTGGTTGTAGATTGGTAATGGCGGTGAATGCGACTGTAAAGGAAGCTCTTCAATCCGTTCTGGTTCGGCTCCAAATATCAAGAGATTGAAGCCGGAGCTAGAGGAATATTTGGAAAATGTCAATGCAAGCAAAGATGTTGCTTGCATTGACTCCCCACAGGCTCCGTTAGTGGCAAAGGAGATGGCTAATGCTAGGCTAAATGCTAAAGCTAGGCTAAACGCTAAATGCCTCACTCACTCGGACGCATTACATACCTCACGGTAAACTCAGATCCAATCGTTTCAATCTGCAAAAAGAGTTTTCTCCTCCCGCCTGTTAACAGAGCTCAATGGGGCAAAGACCTATAAGTACAAAATGAAATGAGTACGATGGTACGGTAAGACCAAGCTATGAAGACTAGGACTGGGACCAGTTTTGGAATGACCAGTTTGTAGCATAATCTGTATTCTCTTGCCAAGTAAACACAGTCATTGCTGTAATTACTTCCAATGATAGCACTGTGGCGACTGAATTAATCGGTGCTTAATGGAAAACATTTCTTTCACTTTCCCCAATGTTTTGCTGGACAAACAATTACAGCGGGCACAAGCGCCGGTTTAAATCAAAGAGTAAACAAGTCCAATTTGTTGGTGAGCAAACTGTGCCTAAACTAATGACCTTTCAGTTGGAAAGTGTAATTCTCGTGACAATAATTTCCTGGACAAGTGAGTGAGAGTTTCATGTTTTCTGGTGGAAAATCTCTTCACCAACAACAAATAACAAAAATAGAACATAATTTTTTCAATAAATTATTTTATGGCATTTTTTTTAAATACATTTGTTCAAAAGAAATACACACAATCTTGGTTATTGAAATTGAAATTATCTCTCCCCTAAACCCTTTACTGGAGGCGGGTCTGTTTTTTGCTGTGCTACTTTTATTTTTTCTTCCTGCTCTTGTGCTTGAGTCCATCCATGCTGTTTTGCCTGGAAATATTCACAGTATGGCATTATAACGTATCCTTATATCTCTCTGTAAGATTTTAGTTTTTGGAGCTGTAAAAACATCTGTAATAGAGTTTTCGATATTACACTGAAAAACATCCCATGCAAAAAAATTGAATCTCCAATAAGTTTGTAGTGGACCCCAAAAAAATTGCGTAATGTAGCTTATATTTGCACAATTCAGTTTAAGGAAGGTGTAATATTTGTTTGCTGCATCTTCAAAAGTCTCCATGAGTCCAGACTTTTAAATCAAGCTCTTTGAATCATCAGTGATTCTTCTGGAAACCCTGAAAAAGCATGTTCTGGCTTCTTCCCTCTGGAAGAAGACTTTTCTATGAGATTATGAACAATGTATTTATTTATTTATTATGGATTGTCCCTTAAAGATGCTAAACCCAATTTTTTTTAATGAGTTCATAAAAATGCTTATTACTACATTGAAGTTGTATTATAATCCGTAATTTAAGTGAAAAATGTAGCTCATTGATTCAGCTGTGTATGAATTCAGGCCGTATAAAAGTGCTGAGTAGAGACTTAGCGTGATGCCCGCTCTCCTCCAATCACAGAACGAGGCTGCGTCCTCTGGCCTCTACAGCGCTGCTAAACACAGTAGCATGTTAGCAGAATTGGCTATAACTCCTCTTGCTGTAACTGCATAAAAACAGCCCAAACGACACAACTGTGAGGAAGAGAAGAGGGAACCAAAGCGAGAAAAGAAATCAAGCCCGGGTGAACATAGCTAGCTTACATCGTATCCTCTGGAGAGACTTGTCTATGGGAGAGACCTGCGGGACCGCCTCAGACTATCTATGCTAAGACTACATTCAGACGCGAAACTAGCAGTAATTTCATTTCATTTCATTTCATTTACATCCCTTTATTTTCCATTTCTGGGTCAGGGGGGTGGCAATCAGAACTGCCACCCCATTCACATAGCACCAGTCCCACGCTGATCTTCCTGCAGGTGGTGGGTCCACGGGAAGATGGCTGCTCCTTCGACACAGATGCGGTCTTGGTCTTGGCCTTGGTCTTTCAGCAGGGACTTCAGGCACATTGGGGTTAAGTGTCTTGCCCAGGGACACAACGACAGCAGACATCAGGGGGAGCAGTTGACATGGGTCGAGGTGGGATCGAACCCACGAATTACTAGCAGTAATATTTCAGTTATATATTTTGTTAGCAGTGCGTTGCTTTTGAACCATTTCATCAGTGATTGTTGTACAGTTTACAAGAAGTTGCGCTCATGCTAATGTTTGCATATAGATCGCAAATAAAACTAGATGGCTCCGTGGAATGAGAGCGTAGGGGAAATGAGAGACCTGTGAGCGAGTTGGGGGCGGTGCTGAACATTCAAACCTTGAAACGGGTATAGCTCCTTTTAAGACGAATAAACTTCCTTTCAAGGGTTTGAGCAGGACAGCTCGTCAGCTTCTCAGATTGAACAATTCCGAATGTTGATATTGCACTTAGTATCAGCTTTTTGTGATTACATGTTGAATTATTTGGTCTGTCCCGAATGGAAGAGATTTATGCCCAGGTCTACATGTGCCTTGTTCTGGACCAGACAAGTTTTCTGTATTTCTCTCCTCCCACATAAACTCAATGATCAGCAAAAGTAACAGCACTCACTACTGGTGTTATGGTAATGCACAGCTGCTCTCTCGCACGTCTGGCCTTGTTTGATTCTCCAGCAGCAAAAACATAATCAAACTCACATAAACAGCAATAAATGATTCTCAAAAGGTATGGATTGTGATAAAGAGGATATGATTTAGACAATATACAAAAGACATAATAAAATGTACTAAAATCAAGATAATTTAAGCTAATTAAAGCATTTTCTACATGGAAAAAATACACTATATTTACAGTGTATGGGTAAAACAAGTTTAAAGGGTAAAAACAATGCTTTCCACTAAGAACTCTCTAAGCAACCAGCAGAGGGAGGAGACATTTTCCATCTAAATTAACCATACAGTGTCCTTGGGCGTTTTGTTTTGTATTATTATGATCTCATAGTCGCACGATGAGATCATACTATTACATTGCTAACAGAATTTGTTTATATTAGCAATTTTTTGTCATGTTTATCTACGTATACAAACTATTACTGAAAGATCTGTAATCAGTCACTTACCGCTCAAACGATAAACAATTTTCTTTTTAAATTTGCCTCTTTTTCTTTTTGCTGCGCTGTCATTTTGTGTCATGTGAAGTTTCAGTTGTCTTCTCCCGACAATCGAAGCAAACCGATCCACGCAGCAGGAAGCAGGTTTGCAGCAACATTTTTTCCTCCGGTTTCCAAAGTTCAGCCCCACGCAGCTTTTGAACATGATATTATTCTGTTAGTGGGGAGCTTTCATTCTTTCTTACAAACACAGCGTTTATTTTTAGCCCAGCACTTTTTCCTGCCTCGTAATGAAAGAGCAGCCTCGCAGACGGACGTGTTTGCTTGGGAGAAGTTTGAGGGGGGGAGAAAAAAGTCTGAAAGCAAACATTTGATGGAGTTTGGGCCTATTAAGGTCTTTAATATGGCTCCTCCAGTGAGCCAAAATACACAGCGCTGGGTCAGAAGTTACATGTGGATTCAATTGAAATATAATAGTTGTGTGTGGACACGCTGGGGAAATGATAATTTGGGTCAAAGTCAGCAGGTGGAGAAGTGAGAGGATTAGCATAATGATAGTTTGAGAGCCAAAAAGTCAACTGTAAGATGTTTTCGTACAGTTTGCATACCCTGGCAGAATTTATGACGTGAGAATATGAATAATTTCAGTCTTATGTATTTAGAAATGTGTCTTTGAGAAGGAGGGCAGTAGCGTTGCATATATAGGGAGAAATTACAGAGTGGAAAAATCACATCACAAAAACTGGTACTTTTCCTTTATCTAATAATTATATCTTTCATTTCGTACACCACGGCTTACAAAACTTAACCAAAACAAGATTTGCAAAGACAATTGTGTACATACAATTTAAATACATGTGAAAAGCACCAAATTAAGTCGATAATAATGTTCAATTGAAAATAGATATAAAATAATACATAAATAAAATAATAGTTATGATAATAATAATATGATTTTTTTTTTTTTCATTTCATGTTCGAAAGGGAGTGGGAAGAAGCAGAGACTTAGTTAATCCCAAACCTTTTTTAAATGATTCTTTTACCTTCAGACTTGTTTGCTTGTAAAGTATAAGTTATAATAATTAAATAATTTTACATAGAGTAGAAAATGTTCAGCACATTTTATGCAATTGCATGAAACTTGACAGCGCTTAGGTGAGGCATGTTTATGTATTTTTTTATTTATTGGGGGGATTATTTCAGAGTATGTTTCATGTTACAGCTACAACATTTTAGCCAAGGCAAGTGATCTATGGCTGCCCTCAAGGTTGGAATATTACACACAATAAAACAGTACAGTTAAAACAATCACAGATAATAAAAAGCAGAAAAAGCAGTGCAGAGTAGATTTCCACACGTCTGACCTCCTACTTACACATTTTCAGGATTGTGTCTGAAAAGAAGCCATTGTTTATTTCTCCGTTGTGAGATCAATAAAGTTTATCTAATCTAATCTTCATGAAGCATTGAGACCACGCTTAAAAAGTCCATGCACTGAAGGGAAAGACTAAACAAGTGAGTCTTAAGTTTACTCTTAGAAGTTGGAGGACAATTGACGCCATTCTAAATAGAGTGTTCCATTAACAGGGAGAGGAAGAGAGAAAGTCGATTCTCATATTTTCATTTTTGTATAAAGAACAGCGAGAAGGTCAAAGCCTGAGGATCAGAAATGATAAGGCACAAGAAAACCACAAATACAACATGAGGATTTTAAAGTCAACAAAGTGGAGCAGCGGATTTTTCAAAGGTGGTCAGTGGGGCCGAGAGGAAACAGTGACGCAGCATGATTTTAGTCCTGATCCTCTCAAAGTTACTGGTTGAAGCTATTTATAGTCAGCCATTAATCCCTTCTAAGTCTCTCTGCCAACCACCATATCGTTTTTGTGTGTCATTCATATTTTCTGCAAGCATTCTGTAAACTTCTGCAGACAACTGTATATAGTCAGAAGATTGACCCAGCCCATTGAACGCTTTGTGATCCCGGTCTGTGAAAGGCGCTATATAAATAAACTTTACCTACTTACTTACTTATCTAATCTCATTCAAACATCAACATTGATTGAAAAGAGCCCCAACTGTAATCAACATTAGTATTTGTATAGACTGATTTAAAACTCACTTATCCATGCCGTCATCCGGTCAGACATTTCATATTTCCTACTGTCTTTTAACTTCCCCGGTTATTCCCATTGTTTTCAAGTCCAATGGTTTTCTTCTGGCTGGCGATGGTCTAGGATTTCCCGCTCATAATGTGACCAGATCAATTTAATCTACACTGACGTCTTTACAAAACTGATTTATTCATCCAAATCCAAATGCGTAGAATTATGTCTTCATCTTTTCGATTCGATTTCGATTTAAATCAATCTATAACAAAATGGTTTTCATTTCCCATACTTTCTTCAGTTTCCAGCTCCCGCTTTGCTTAAATGCGAGCCTTTTGTTCCTGTTACGTGGTAAAAACAGAAGAAGAACCCAAATTGCGCAACTGCCAGAAATATACGATTTATAACACAAATCTCAAAAATAGAAAAATCTGGGATATAACAAAACTTTTAACATTTACTATAATAAATAATAATAGACCAATGAGGGGCCTCACCTCAGAAGTCTCTCATGGATTTGAATTCATTGCGTCCAATCAGAAAGCTGCGAGAGAGGGTCTTTCTGGCGCTTGCATTCGATAAAAGTTAATTACACCATTACACCTGCTGTTAAAAAAAACGCTACAATCACACCTATCTATACATTCTATTTTCTTCTACAAAAACATTGTTATTAAGCAGGACCTAGCGCAGAGGTCTTTCTCAGTCTATTCACAGTGACCCATGGCGCCTGCTTCTTCATTCACAGCGCTCAATGCCGTGAAGCGCATATGTAAATAAACACAGCTCTTCTTTGCACGTCTTTTTTTGTTTTGTTTCTTCCTGATTAAGTTGTCAAGAAAAAATGCTTGTCTTTGCTGTTTCCCCACCGCTGCCTGTCACTCCTGCCCGCATTCGGCGCACAATCAAAAAACCCCCAGTAATGGCGGCGGAGAGCTAAAAGCCAGGTTTACTGCTGACTCACGGATTTGAGCTGGGAGTGATGCGACTTTATCATAAGAATAGACTCTCGGCTGTAAATTATAGGCCTTAATGAATTCCCACTGAGAAAGCAGCGCCACAAAAACCACTCACTCCATCTACTGTATACAGCAAGTACTTTATTTATCCCTCATGCAGCCGGAGCATTCGTAACGTTACAATTCAGATTTATGGGTAGAATAGGAGCGCATGCAAAACAATAATCAAAAGGCGATCTGTTTTGCAATTGAAAAGGCCACCAAGCGTTTGGAGTATAGTCGTATTTTTGCTCGCTAACTTAAGAGCGGCTTGTCCTGTAGACCACCCATAAGGAAATGCAAGATTAGAGATTGTTCAGCTGCTGCGTCTCTTCCAAGGGACATCTCACTAAATCTTTGGGAACGTGGGAAGGTTTTGTGACGGGTTCTTAGTACTGTGTTTAGAAGCATAGCGTGGCATTCTGCTCAAGCGAAATGAAGCCAATTAAAGCTAATGTTAGTGTGTTAGAGGGAAGCAAGAAAATGTTTCCTGGTAACTTCGGTTAAAGTCAGACTTAGGCCCTAATTTATCAACTGCAAAGTAAATGCGTGGTTGTAAATAATTGTCAATTGTATGGCAACATTGCGAAGCGGTTTATACATTTCTATGTAATTTCTAGAACAATCCAGTCCTGGCAATCCACTTGATAAACCCCATCTTTGTCAGAGAAATTCTGTGTTGAGAAATGTTTATTTGCCTTCTGTCACTGTACAGTGCCATCTCCCTGTTGCTTGCCCCGTATACGCAGGGCAGTAATCACACACTGGTATTGTGTGGAGGCAAACATCTTTTGAGCGTGTTTTATGGTGTGAAATCTGTATTATGTGGTAGGCAATATAGGCCAATAAACATTTGTATTTTGCTCTAGTTGATGAGAAACACTCATATATGAGATATCAACAATGGTGTAATTATTTATCATAAAGGTGGATAAGTGGTGATAATATTCAAAAAACACATGCAGGATGTTGACCAGTAGTAATCGTTTGTGAAAGACATAAGTGTTTTTCCCCCCATCTAAAACAGAATTCTACAACATGAACGCAACCTATTTCCCTATTTGGAAGCTAGCAAACAAAAAGCCAATAGAGAGCTGGGAGTTGTTACAAATCGGCTGATTGGTTTTCCTTTTCAAGTCGAAACCTTCACCAAAGTAACTGAACTTCCTCCCTGTATGTGGCCCCCTTTAGTGGCCCATTTATGGTCTATATTCTCCAAAGGCTTTAGCTGAAGATATTAGCCTGCGTGTATATTGTTTTGGGCAAGAACCAGTTGAGTAAAACCAGAAAATTAACTTATAGTCTTTGCATTGTGGCTGTATTGCGTTCTCTGCAACAAATTGCCTACATGCACATCTCATACCAGCAGCTTTTACGTTGTTAAATCATGTCATTCATTACGATAAGAAACACCCTGAGAACGCGCTGGTCGGACTTATAAAGCTTTACCGCTGCTACAAGTCAAGATTCCTCTCAGTCTTGCCTAAATGAGAACCAGTTATCCCACAGAATTTCACTCTTCCTCCCAACTTGACTGGATTACGGACGTGATAATTAAATTTGCCTGTGGTTGGGTTTATGTGGCTTCGGGACCCCACAGCACTTATATACCTCCGCAGTGCAGGCCGCTTTCAATCCTTCACAAAATATTGCGTTCAAACATCCGTGCGGTAACTAGGGAGGCGAGGAGTCGGGAATGTTGCGGTAAATGCGTCTCTCAAGCCATTGTTATTAGCTGGTTTGGCTCATTAAGATCAAACGCTGAAGATTCAAAGGCACTCTCCCAAACCTTAAAAGGAAAATCCATTTGCCAAATCAAAGCGGCAGAAGCGTTTTTTGAGGGTTTTTTCGATGGGATTTGAAAAATGTCCCATGCAGACACAAACTGCCTCTGTTTTTGATGCAGACATGAGAAAGGCTAATTCCTGTGGTGAGGGTTTTTCGAGCTCATTATGAAGGTCAGTCAAAGATATTATTCTGTGCCAAAACCATTTAGTAAGAGGGCTACCTTAGTTAACCAGACTTGTCAATGGGGTGACAACCCAGAGTGTATAATTTATATTAAAGGTATACAGGAAGATTTTCCCAAATTTTCGGAAAGAATCGCCCTCTGCACTTTTTGAAAAAAACTCCCTGGTCTTGTTTGACGGGCACATATCACCAGAATGATTGACAAATAGGAGGACCAAATAGTCTTGATGATCCACCTGGAAGTAGAAAACTTCCATATATGCCTTTAACATTGATTTACATCTGACAGAGCTGAAGTTGGCTGAATGACAACTTTTTCACTAAACTTACCTTATATGTGTATGGCATATTGTTGGTATAACATATATATCATATATCATTGGTATAACAAATGTTGGTATTGTTCAACAAAGTCATCAACTGGATTCAAAAGTTTCTGAGCTTTACAAAGAGGAAAACTAGAAGTAAAGAAGGCCGAATATGGGCTCAAGGAGTTTATAGATAAATGATACATTATAGATTAGCGGTATTATCTAATGTAATTCAAGTTAGCAAGTAGCTAACATTATACTACTTTTAGCTACTTTTAGAATTCATTTTTGTTGTTGTATGTATGTATGGATGTGTTTCTGCTGATATGGACTCCGGAATTTCTCCATCGGGGGCTCAATAAAGTATCTATCTATCTATTTATAAATGTGAAACAAAACCTAAAAAGATGCACTTCCAAAACAAGTGCGTTGGATTTCAGTCTCAGCCACAGACGAGCAGACAACAGAAGAAAAGATTCAATTTAGATACAAATGCAGCTAAAGTCGCAGTCTGCGATCTCGCCTGTGTCCGAGTTGTCTTGATTAGCCGCTGTTATGTAACAACTGCGTTAGCTAGCAACGTTCTCATGCGCTACAAAAGTTTAAGATGATTCATCCCACAGCGGGGAAATGTCAGTGTTGCATCACCGGTTACAGAGCAGTGGGAATGAGGAGCACACAACACAAGATAAGTGAACCATAACTACAGTATGTACCATCCCAGAGCGAGCGACATGCGGTTTATTCTGCAAATCTGCATCAAACAACAATTGTCACTGTTGCAGAATCTGTCTAACTGTAATATCAAAGGAGCATTATATGAACGGATACTCAGACGTCTCACAACATAACTACCCCACCAGAGAGTGATGGAGGCTAATGGAGAGACGATATGCATATCTAACAAATGGTTAGAACCACTCTCAGACTCACAGAGGATAGAAGCTTAAGTATTGTTTTGTTGTTGCACTCTTCATTTTAAAGATCAACCCGGAAATGGACTTAGTGTCTTAACACTCTTCAGATTGGAAACTACATGCATTGAGCTGGTTTCTTTCAACGCTTTCTACTGGTTTTACTTGAAAGACTGCGGATGTCACATGGTTAAAAAACAAGGACACAAAATACAGGAATGTCAAAAAATAATGATGTAATTATGGAATAAAATAAAAGTCCAGGGTTAAACCAAAATCAACGATCCAAACAGAACCAGAACAGACACTAACAGACAGACTTTAAATGTGTCAATGGAGGATTTTTCTCAAACTTTTTGAAACAACTCTGGTCTTTTTTGACGAGCAGGGGTCACCAGAATGATTGACAATTGGGACGACCAATAGTCAAAGTGGATATTTTTCCTATATAAATACATATAGATTGTACTTGTGAATCTAATTTTATTGTTTTTATGTGTTGTGTGAAGTTTTCTTTTGTGTCTGTTTTCTTGGAACTAAGTTATGTTAAGTTCTGCACATTCACACTGACGCTTAAGGCATCAATGTTGATGAATGTGCATTGTCCCAACTCAATAAATAAATAGATGAAAATGAAAACTAAAATGAAACTAAGAACCCGCTCCTCCTATATTGGTGAACCTCCCGAATACAGGCCATCGAGCATGTCTGTACTTTCCGGTGTTGCAGCCTCTGAGTCTACAACAGCTTTCCTTCAGGTCATAATATAATGATCTTGAATTTTGATTGTTTCTATGTTAAAATAATGTGTTGGCCTTGACATGTACTGACCCCTTGGCCAGATACCC